CCCACTTCGTGGCCCACATGGAGTCTCTACTTACCCGAAACTGCCCAATGTCGTGCCGACATCACCCTCCGATGCCCGGACATAGGCGCGGTGTGGGTCTGTGACGTCACAGTCACCGACCCCATCTCACCCAGTGACCCAACAACACGAAAGGGGAATGGGTGGATGGTGGCAGAGATGCAGGGCAAGAAGCGGGACCTGTACGATGAACGAATAACCTTCGTGAAGGTGCTGGGAGTCGCCACAGAGACATATGGCTGCTGCTCCCCCGACACACTCGAGTTCCTCCGAGTACTGGCTGCCCTCTCAGCCCGCCGGAACAACAAGGCCGATGAGAAATCGGCGGTGGCAAAGAAGGTACTGCACAGCTACCGCCAGAGATGGTCTATCACCCTCCAGCGGCAGCAAGCAATCACCCTCCATGTGAAAGTTAGCCAGGTAACAGGCCAAGCTTTCAGCCACGACCGCCCCCTAGACAAACCCCTTGCCTGGGGAGAACTAGAGGCCACCATTGAACCTACCTGCGTCGGGTGGCCTGGGCAGCAGTAGGATGCCCGGGAGCCCTAGGACATGCATCGCCCCGCTTGTACCCCTGTACCCTTTATAATCATAATAAAGGACCGCTTGAGAGAGAGAGAGAGAGAGAGAGAGAGAGAGAGAGAGAGAGAGAGAGAGAGAGAGAGAGAGAGAGAGAGAGAGAGAGAGAGAGAGAGAGAAGAGGATGGCAACGAGAGAGGGGAGGGGTTAGAAAAAGGGCAACGGTAGGGCAGCTAAATGGAGCTCTACAATTACTCCTTGGATGCTTGATGGAGCTCGTGGAGAACAATTCCCAGCGATTTTTGGAACAACTTGATCTTTTGCGAAGCCCGCATGTGCTTATCAGGTTTTGGCAATATGGCAAGGAGTACTTTCCCTGTGTTCTGCCAATGTCGGTGCCATGGAATGTTGGCTGCAGATATGTACACGGGCCATATCTTGGTTCGCATTGTACCATCGAGAGTCGTCTGGTCACTTGCAAGGATCACTGGACATATAACTTCGCCATCCGGCACACAGACCTCCTGGACGCAAACCATTATTGTAGGAAAATGTTCCAGCATTGGGACAAGGCAGGTGGCATTACAAAGCCAACATAGACCACAAGCAAAGGGCGTGTAGCATCTAGTCACAGAGGCTAGGATAGGCAACCCCGATGTCTATCTTCCAACAAATGGGAGGGGGCCGACGGGTGCAAGGCGTGGACAATCTGTTGCAGTAGGCAATACAAGAACAGCATAAACACCTGAGCTTCCACCCGGAAGCTTGCAGTGCTGGGCGTTGTAAAAATGAGATTGCCAATGGCATCTTTTTGTGGATTGGCCCATATTTGGAACCCGGTTGTATTGCTGGAATATCCAAACAGGTCCCGCAAAGCTAGTACGGGGCTAGTATATTTAACATAGAAGGGCCACTGCCAGCCATCGATGTGCACCTCCCGAATAGTGTATGTCCTCCCACCAAGCCCCGTGGTAACAGTGTCTGGCCATACTCGATGGCCGCTGGCTTTGAGTGTCAGTTGGCGATTCTAGACAAATGTTTATCATTAGCATGCAGAACTTGAGAAGTCGGCAGGTGTCAGGAGCCGACAACTGATTGCCTCTGTTATACGCCATAATGAGGAGATATAACTCGAGAGCCATATCAAAGGATGGTGTTGGGTTGTATCCGTGCTCGCAAGTACTCCTCCCTTTGCTGCCACTGTCACTGGAATGGCCAGATTCGCTCCTCTGAGCAGAGCTTGAGGTGGTTTGCATGTTAGGTGGCTCAATGGGTGGGCTTCTGTTGTTGTGGCCAAGTGGTGCCCTGGATTGGCAGGCACGATCATCGCCTGGTGGGTCTACAAACGTGGCATATGGCCCTACGAAAATACCCAACTTGAAGCTCCGTTCCTTAGCCAAGCGGCAATCCTCATCCGTAATCGTGTGCGACCATAGCGGGCCACAACCTCGGAACGAACAGCCACACCATTCGCACAGAACCTTGCAGCATTTCATGCTTATAGGTCACGTGGCATGTTGCTGTAGGCTAACATGCGTTAAAGATCTAGGATGGCACCCTTGCTTGGCAAGAAGAACGAGGATACCTACTACGGATAGAGTTAATAGACCGACTCGTGACACCTCCATGGCTGAACGCAAGAACCTAATCTAAACCGCCATCCTATGGAATCGTGTGCTGTGAAATCGAGCTACAAGCTAAGAAATTGCAAGTATCGAACACGCTGTGTATTGTCGCGGACATCGGGACTTCAGTGTTGGGAGGACTAGATGTGATATGAGGAAAGTTTTTGGCGCAACTAACGTGGGTAAACACCCCACCTATATGTCAAATACAGGGATGCTTCGTAGTGAGATATAATGGAGTTACGATCCCCAACAACGGATTTGAGCCAGTTAGCTACTCAACTGTATAGCTCGTGACATGTCCAGAGGCTCTGGGCAATGCCGTTGAGAATCCACGCCACGTTATGCGGCACGCATTTATAAAACCTTCTAAATCCAGCCCCCCCCCCCCCTCCCCCCTCCTTCGAACGCCGTAAAAATTGTGGCACGTATCTAGAGCCTTGTTTTGATCTGTTTAGCATGCACAAGTCAGCTGCAGTGAACACCAACCACTGCCCCGAACATAATTTGAGCCCGAGGTTACAGCCACTGAGTATTCGGGTACACCTAGAACTGTAGCATTTGCATTCGAGGGCAACACAGCTGCCCCAACTACAATTCGCTCTAGGAGGAGCACTCGCATTAAGCCGACCATAAGCTCGTGTTCCAATCTGACGTGCGGTGACGCAAGAAACACGACCCTTTGTGTCATGTGCTCGTGGCGACACCTAAATTTCGTGCAGCCAACCCTAGTCATCACATGAAGGGCACAAAATGTGTATTACAGCGTAGCTTGTCGTTCAGGTGTTTTGCCGCGTAGCCAGATGGCACAGTGCAGGCATCGTGAGCGCATCTGCAATTCCAAATCCGGAGCAAGGTCACCCAATGCCTTGGGCACCTATTTCAGCTCGAGAAATGTCAGATGGAAATCAGGTTTGAGGATTTTCCACATTTGCAGTAACGTAGCTACCAGGCCAGGTTTTACGAAGAAAAGCAGAGAAGCTATGGCTGAGGTTGGAAAGCGCAAGCGGAGCTCAGAGTCTAACTCTTGAAGAACCAGGACGGTACTTCAGCAAACGTTTGCATGGAGAAATAGGGAAATAACCGCTCTACTGATGCAGCGAAAGTTTGTGAGCTGCCACTACCAAGATGTGGAACCAACACCCAAACTTCTACTGGCAGCACTAGAGCCACTCAGCATCTCCGACACTGGAAGCGCATCAGAGAAACGTTCTCGCTGTGAAATCAATGCAAGGAGGATACGCACCAGACAAGGGCAAGCTAACTTGGATTTCATACACAAGAAAATTGTAAACGCTTTGTATGCTTACGAACTTGAGGGCAGTGCAAATACCGATACAGCATGATTCATTGCACTCATAAAGGATTACCGGTCCGTCAACTTCCATGCAACAACCTGGGACGATCTCATAAAACGGATGCCATATGATGCTGATTTCGATGATTTTCTATTGCTCTTTGCCCACGCTGAGAGATATGTGGTAAGTAAGCTGATGCATATTCACCTATTTTGAAGAGGTCTTACTCTCGCTTCTTAAGCATTTGAGGACCACTGTTTAGGTCAAAGGTGGTGATTATGATCACAATGGAGCTGATGATGTGGTCTATCTTCCCGCTGAAGAAGAACACCGCCAGACTCGCAACGTTCCACGCCCGTGCACCTACCTGTGAGCACGAATGGAGTTCTCTTGCAAGTTCTTTGTCATATGGACTCACTAACCTCAGATAACGCTTCTTGTTCCCTTTCACATAGACGGGCTTGTTGGACCGGATGGTTACGGCATCCCCCTAGGCGCACTTGCACATGCGCCGGGCCTACTTGCTCCATGGGAAGAAAAGCCGACCCCACAATCACTACACCCTGTTCCTGGCAAACCCAACGCAGTTTATTGCATACCTGCCCTTCCCGAGTTCCCGTGTCTCAAGGACCAATCGTTTCATACGAAAGGATTCGACACATACTCATTGGATGATGAATTCAATCCTCGTTCCAAAAGTCAGCCTCTAGGCTTTAGGAAGGTTGCGCCAATACGTAGATGGTATTAGGTCTATCAACAAGGCTGCATAACCTTCACTTTGAATTTTTTTGCAGTGTGTGTGTTTTTTTTTTGTGACTTTTTTTTTAATGTAAAGTACACTTTTTGAATTCCCCCCCATTTGCTGGAATTTGATACCATTACCCAACTGCCCAGTGTCAAACTGGGGTGACCACGTAGGCTGGTCATGATCCACTTTGTTCACGTTACAGCACAAGTTGCCATATCATGTGGACGTGGGCTGGCTTCGTATGCTCGTGAACAATTGCCCCTTATTATTATCAGTTGACTCCAATCGGCTAGCCGGGCACTGGAATTCGACCACTGTCCAGCAAGGCATAGGTAGCTTTCTTGGATTGCAATCCAATCTTGCTGTTTCTAAAGGCACGCCTCTAGTGCCTTCTTGAATGGCACACACCATATTACGTTTATAGGATCATCACTTCTTCATTCTTGCATGACACATCCCTCCACTGGTTGCAAACTCTGTGTTAGTGCTTTCTTGAATAACACCTCATCCTTGCTTTCTTGATAATCTCGCCAGTCTGAAGGTGTTTATGATACAGACATCAACCTTCTAACCTCCCTCTCGGCTCAACCATGCAATCTCGTTAGATTGCGACCATGCAAGCTCGTTAGATTGCGCAACCCCTTATCCCTCTTATAGTTGCAGCCCGCATGCTTTCCTGCGTAGACCGCATAGGCTCGCAACCCTTCGAGGTGAGAGGCTCTAGCCCGGTTGGCTGATCAGCACCATGTCCACATTGTGGCAATCATTATGTCGAGGAGCCGGCCGTTCCACGAGGTGGGGTGACTTCGAGGTCTATGAGTCGCCATCAACCGGGCATGTTGTACGCACTGGGCATGCCGGACTAATAGAGTCGTCAGAGAGCTTCCACGGAAGGGATTCAGGCTTCATGTCATTCGCAAGTGAACTCAAAGGGCACAGTATGGCATGAGAAGACGAGATAGACACAACGGGGGATGACAACGAAGAGATGACGGCGGGTAAGTGAGCAGGGTAGGCACGCTAGAGTGGGACAGGGAGGGTTGAGGGGGAGAGGGAGGTTGGAATGTTTTTGGGGGGTGGGAAAGGGGAGAAGGGCAGCGGTGTTTTGAGCACCCTGAGGGCATTCGTGTGTAAGAATTTAAATTATTTGCATGATAAGACTGAGCTTTGTCCCATACTTTACAAGATGTAGTATGGGGTGCTTTAACTTGCACACTAGCTGCCCCCCTCTCAGCGTGCATCCCTTGGCCCCCGTGTTTCTCACCAGGTGGAACACCACCAAGGAATGAGCGTCCTTTGGCTGAGATGACTGCCTGCACCGCTCCTCCAGGCACTCCAATACTAACGCACTTCACAGGGGACCTGGCAGCGGCAGCGGCAACTGCAACAGCCACAAGAAAACAGGGAGCGCATAAGCATGCAGCTGCGTGTGAACCTGCCCATTCCAAGTGTGGTGACCGTACGCCTGTCACTCAGCCCCCGAGCTTCGTGCAACTACAGCAAGAAAACGAGGCTTAAAAAAAACGCTGGTGGGAGTCACAGGCGAGGGCAACCAGAATCGCGGGTCACCATGGTGCGAAGCCACATGGGCATCGGCGCCACAAGGCACGTCGGCTGCACACCTCACCAACTCGGGATGATGGTGCTGGCACACATCAGCAGCCAACGAATCTCAACCATTGTTCAATGCCGGCCGCTGTAGCGAGGGCAGTCGATTGTGAGCTGCATCGTCGGGGTGGCACTCATTGGCAGTGGGATGTCAACAGGATGCGCACTGAATGGCCTGACAGGATGGAATCCGCTCTAAAGACCATACCCTATGTGTACTCAGGATTTAAGGTGTGTAGTTACGCTACTTCTTGACTCCGGTTTCCACACATGTGGCTGTTGTGTTACATGTGGATGCAGCTTTTGGTGTCATCTTCCACCTTGCCACCAGCACCTGCCCTCTTGCACCTTGCCTCCGTGCCCTGCCCTGTTGCACCTTGGCACGTGCACCTGCCCTCTTGCACCTTGCCACCAGCACCTGCCGTCTTGTGCCTTGCCACCAGCACCTGCCCTCTTGCACCTTGCCACCAGCACCTTGTTGGAGATAGGCTGCAATTCGGTTGGCACAACTTCGTGTGTTAGGAATTTGTTGGTTTTAGGGTTAGGCATATTTGTTAGGTTGGGTGTAGCTTTGTTTTCATCCCCAACCTATCCCAACCCAATCCATCCCAAATCCCCTCCGATTTGGGAGGATTCCCTTGGGATTCCCTCCAATTCTCCCTTATCCCTTCCCATCCTCTCTGATGCTCGGTACTTAAGGTTGTATGCTCTTGCTCATTCATCAATGAAGCTCTCATTTTATAACACACCTACCCTCTTGCACATTGCCACCAGCTCCTGCCCTCTTGCACCTTGGCCTGTGCACCTGCCCTCTTGCACGTTTCCACCAGCACCTGCCCTCTTGCACCTTGGAGCCAGCACCTGCGCTCTTACACCTTGCCACCAGTACCTGCCCTCTTGCACCTTGCCACCAGCACCTGCCCTCTTGTGCCTTGCCACCAGCACCTGTCCTCTTGCACCTTGGCACGTGCACCTGTCCTCTTGCACCTTGCCACCACCACCTGCCCACTTGCACCTTGGCACGTGCACCTGCCCTCTTGCACCTTGCCACCAGCTCCTGTCCTCTTGCACCTTGCCACCAGCACCTGCCCTCTTTCACCTTGGAGTCAGCACCCGACCTTATGGATCTTGCGACCAACACCTGCCCTCTGGTGCCTTGCCACCAGCTCCTGCCCTCATGCACCTTGCCTGCTGCACCTGCCCTCTTGCACCAAGGAGCAAGCACCTGGGAAAACCAACGGAGGTGGGGGGGCACGGAAGCTTGCAAGAAAATGGCTGATAGCGTGTCTAGCGAGCGAGCGGAAGGGTTACAGTGGGAATGTGGCAATCTCAATTTTGCTGGCAATACTTGTACATAGAAATACGCTCAGATCCCGCCCCTTAGACTGAGTGGGTAACACATGGTAGAGGCCATCGCAGAGTTGTCATTCCTGGGCTGCACATAGCGGCAATGGATACCTTGGCGCCGGACGTCTCATTCCAGGCAGGGAGCTTGGGCTTTCGCACAGCGGGATCAGCGGGTCAGTGCAACGCGGGGGCTGATATGACCGCATCTCACGGCTATTATATTCGCCTCCATTCATCCACCTTATACCGTGAGCGGCATCCCTGATTATGTACCCTCATGCCCCTCCCATCACATTATTATTCTACCTCCCAATCTTATGTCCATCTTGCACTCCTTTTCATCCATCCTGCCTATGGTCGATTTTGCATCTCCTTCCTCAAATCCCCTGCTACCCCCTTTTTACAAGGGCACGGCCGGTCCATGTGATGGCAACATAGTCCGCCCCGCGAGTGCGTCTAGCGTCTCAGTTGTCGTCGTGTCTGTACCGAGGGTGGCGAAACTGTACCAGGGGGGGGGGGGGGGGGGGGGGGGGTTGATCTTCTTCAACGATTTTCACTAGCACGCATGGCGGGAACCTAGGAACTTGCTTTGGCCGTCGAATGAGAGCAATACGACGCCTGTGGCGTATGTGTTTGGGAGACTTCGGCGGGATTTGGGGAATCCGACCTGCAAAATCAAATGTGAAGCATAGGTGATGCTCATACCCTGTACACACCGTCCTCTTATTTGACAAGATGACTTCCACACATTTTACAACACCTCGAACTACCAATTCCCCCTCATATATACCATAATAATAGCGTAACCGAAAAGAAGCGCACGTTGGTAATATCTACAATCGCGTCGTGACAGTATTGAAGGGCTAAATTTAGTCACAGTGTGAATATACCGTAAATGTCTCTTGACAATACTGAAGGCTCATTTTTGTCACGGTTAGCCTGGTTAATATACCATCTACTTGTATGCGTCGATCTCTGTACTCTAAACGCCCACGCACTACCGAATTTGCGGGGCGTATTCCTTGCGTGTTTGGTGGGTGCTGCAGCGCAGTGCTGAAAGAATGCAAAGGGCTTCTTTGTGCACACCCTGGTTTTCGAGCACGAAACTTTGGGATGCCATCGCTGCAGTCAACTTTCTCCGCCGTAACGCCGCTGTAGGATCATCCCAAGACAATGCATTGGTAGCTTGACTACCCATCGGGACGCGACGTAGTACTGTACTTGACAATGCAGTGGTAGCTTTCCCGTCCTACCTACTAGGTCTGACTGTACCCTCAGTCGATCGCCAAAGGCTCAGGGCTCAGGACACAGCGTCGCGTTTCGAACACCACCTGCGAGGTGCTAGTAACGAGATGTTCTTAACAATGTTCCTACCCCGTCGGGCAAAACGGCAACTTCTCCTCCTGCTCGTTTTCCTCTCCCTCGCAGCAACCCGCCTTGCTCCCGCCTTTGGTACACCCATTTCACTCGGGCTCTTCCCACTTTCGCCCTTTCGACTCTCGCGTCCCTCGCTCCTCTCTATCTACCGCAACAAGAAAGATGGCTCTCAAAATAAGTAGGCTCGCACTCTCTTTCGTGACTTGAAAGGGCGTGAATCTACTCACGAACGCCTCACCAGAGTTTTCCTCTTTGACTGCACTCTCGTCCTTCTCTCCTCTTTCCCTCCCCTCTAACTCTCCGCTTCTAACGCGGATGCTCAAGCTCAACCTTTGCGTTGCTCCTCTGCTCTCCTCGCCGCTGGCTTCTGACCCATTCAGACGAGGACTCCCCTCCACCACACGATTCACCGCCATCAGAAGTATCAACGGCCACTGTTTCCGAACCTGATCCGAAGCCTGATGCTGGGTCCGACTCCAAACCTGATCCCTGTCCATCAAGTGAGTGACGGTTCTGTTGATCCGACAACAGGTTCCGGATTAATTCTTCTGCTAAACGGGACCCTGGGGTGGGGTTACCCTATGACTCCTGGGAGGTTGTTTTTGAGGGATTGTTTCTGGGGAATTGTTTTTGGGGGGTTGTGTCTGGCGAACATTTCATGACTCTTTCCCCTCATCTCCCTTATCAGCTCATCGTTGCCCCATCCATCCATGGGTGTGTATACCCCTTCCCCATCCATGGGTGTGTATACCTCTTCCCCATCCATGGGTGTGTATACCTCTTCCCCATCCATGGGTGTGTATACCCCTTCCCCATCCATGGGTGTGTATACCTCTTCCCCATCCATGGGTGTGTATACCTCTTCCCCATCCATGGGTGTGTATACCTCTTCCCCATCCATGGGTGTGTATACCCCTTCCCCATCCATGGGTGTGTATACCCCTTCCCCATCCATGGGTGTGTATACCTCTTCCCCATCCAGGGGTGTGTATACCTCTTCCCCATCCATGGGTGTGTATACCCCTTCCCCATCCATGGGTGTGTATACCCCTTCCCCATCCATGGGTGTGTATACCCTCCCATCCTTCCCCATCCATGGGTGTGTATACCCCTTCCCCATCCATGGGTGTGTATACCCCTTCCCCATCCATGGGTGTGTATACCCCTTCCCATCCATGGGTGTATATTCCATCGGTGTGTATACCCCTTCCCCATCCATGGGTGTGTATACCCCTTCCCCATCCATGGGTGTGTATACCCCTTCCCCATCCATGGGTGTGTATACCCCTTCCCCATCCATGGGTGTGTATACCCCTTCCCCATCCATGGGTGTGTATACCCCTTCCCCATCCATGGGTGTGTATACCCCTTCCCCATCCATGGGTGTGTATACCCCTTCCCCATCCATGGGTGTGTATACCCCTGCGCGTGTATCCCCATCCATGGTGTGTATACCCCTTCCCCATCCATGGGTGTGTATACCCCTTCCCCATCCATGGGTGTGTATACCCCTTCCCCATCCATGGGTGTGTATACCCCTTCCCCATCCATGGGTGTGTATACCCTTCCCCATCCATGGGTGTGTATACCCCTTCCCCATCCATGGGTGTGTATACCCCTTCCCCATCCATGGGTGTGTATACCCCTTCCCCATCCATGGGTGTGTATACCCTTCCCCATCCATGGGTGTGTATACCCCTTCCCCATCCATGGGTGTGTATACCCCTTCCCCATCCATGGGTGTGTATACCCCTTCCCCATCCATGGGTGTGTATACCCCTTCCCCATCCATGGGTGTTACCCTTCCCCTCCATGGTGTGTATACCCCTTCCCCATCCATGGGTGTGTATACCCCTTCCCCATCCATGGGTGTGTATACCCCTTCCCCATCCATGGGTGTGTATACCCCTTCCCATCCATGGGTGTGTATACCCCTTCCCCGTTTCCCCATCCTCCCCCCTGGGTGTGTATACCCCTTCCCCATCCATGGTGTGTATACCCCTTCCCCATCCATGGGTGTGTATACCCCTTCCCCATCCATGGGTGTGTATACCCCTTCCCCATCCATGGGTGTGTATACCCCTTCCCCATCCATGGGTGTGTATAACCCCTTCCCCATCCATGGGTGTGTATACCCCTTCCCCATCCATGGGTGTGTATACCCCTTCCCCATCCATGGGTGTGTATACCCCTTCCCATCCATGGGTGTCCCTTCCCCCATGGGTGTGTATACCCCTTCCCCATCCATGGGTGTGTATACCCCTTCCCCATCCATGGGTGTGTATACCCCTTCCCCATCCATGGGTGTGTATACCCTTCCCCATCCATGGGTGTGTATACCCCTTCCCCATCCATGGGTGTGTATACCTCTTCCCCATCCATGGGTGTGTATACCCCTTCCCCATCCATGGGTGTGTATACCCCTTCCCCATCCATGGGTGTGTATACCCCTTCCCCATCCATGGGTGTGTATACCCCTTCCCCATCCATGGGTGTGTATACCCCTTCCCCATCCATGGGTGTGTATACCCCTTCCCCATCCATGGGTGTGTATACCCTCCCTCCATGGGTGTATACCCCTTCCCCATCCATGGGTGTGTATACCCTTCCCCATCCATGGGTGTGTATACCCCTTCCCCATCCATGGTGTGTATACCCCTTCCCCATCCATGGGTGTGTATACCCCTTCCCCATCCATGGGTGTGTTATACCCCTTCCCCATCCATGGGTGTGTATACCCCTTCCCCATCCATGGTGTGTATACCCCTTCCCCATCCATGGGGTGTATACCCCTTCCCCATCCATGGGTGTGTATACCCCTTTCCCCATCCATGGGTGTGTATACCCCTTCCCCATCCATGGGTGTGTATACCCTTCCCCATCCATGGGTGTGTATACCTCCCTTCCCCCATCCATGGGTGTGTATACCCCTTCCCCATCCATGGGTGTGTATACCCCTTCCCCATCCATGGGTGTGTATACCCCTTCCCCATCCATGGGTGTGTATACCCCTTCCCCATCCATGGGTGTGTATACCCTTCCCCATCCATGGGTGTGTATACCCCTTCCCCATCCATGGGTGTGGTATACCCCGTTTCCCCCATCCATGGGTGTGTATACCCCTTCCCCATCCATGGGTGTGTATACCCCTTCCCCATCCATGGGTGTGTATACCCCTTCCCCATCCATGGGTGTGTATACCCCTTCCCCATCCATGGGTGTGTATACCCCTTCCCCATCCATGGGTGTGTTTTTTTATGGTGTGTATACCCCTTCCCATCCATGGGTGTGTATACCCCTTCCCCATCCATGGGTGTGTATACCCCTTCCCCATCCATGGTGTGTATACCCTTCCCCATCCATGGGTGTGTATACCCCTTCCCCATCCATGGGTGTGTATACCCCTTCCCCATCCATGGGTGTGTATAACCCCTTCCCCCATCCATGGGTGTGTATACCCCTTCCCCATCCATGGGTGTGTATACCCCTTCCCCATCCATGGGTGTGTATACCCCTTCCCCATCCATGGGTGTGTATACCCCTTCCCCATCCATGGCTGTGTATACCCCTTCCCCATCCATGGGTGTGTATACCCCCCTTTTTTCCCCATCCATGGGTGTGTATACCCTTCCCCATCCATGGGTGTGTATATCCCATTGTATACCCCTTCCCCATCCATGGGTGTGTATACCCCTTTCCCCTCCATGGGTTGTATACCCCTTTCCCCATCCATGGGTGTGTATACCCCTTCCCCATCCATGGGTGTGTATACCCTTCCCCATCCATGGGTGTGTATACCCCTTCCCCATCCATGGGTGTGTATACCCTTCCCCATCCATGGGTGTGTATACCCCTTCCCCATCCATGGGTGTGTATACCCCTTCCCCATCCATGGGTGTGTATACCCCTTCCCCATCCATGGGTGTGTATACCCCTTCCCCATCCATGGGTGTGTATACCCCTTCCCCATCCATGGGTGTGTATACCCTTCCCCATCCATGGGTGTGTATACCCTTCCCCATCCATGGGTGTGTATACCCCTTCCCCATCCATGGGTGTGTATACCCCTTCCCCATCCATGGGTGTGTATACCCCTTCCCCATCCATGGGTGTGTATACCCCTTCCCCATCCATGGGTGTGTATACCCCTTCCCCATCCATGGGTGTGTATACCCTTCCCCATCCATGGGTGTGTATACCCCTTCCCCATCCATGGGTGTGTATACCCTTCCCCATCCATGGGTGTGTATACCCCTTCCCCATCCATGGGTGTGTATACCCCTTCCCCATCCATGGGTGTGTATACCCCTTCCCCATCCATGGGTGTGTATACCCCTTCCCCATCCATGGGTGTGTATACCCCTTCCCCATCCATGGGTGTGTATACCCCTTCCCCATCCATGGGTGTGTATACCCCTTCCCCATCCATGGGTGTGTATACCCTTCCCCATCCATGGGTGTGTATACCCCTTCCCCATCCATGGGTGTGTATACCCCTTCCCCATCCATGGGTGTGTATACCCCTTCCCCATCCATGGGTGTGTATACCCCTTCCCCATCCATGGGTGTGTATACCCTTCCCCATCCATGGGTGTGTATACCCCTTCCCCATCCATGGGTGTGTATACCCCTTCCCCATCCATGGGTGTGTATACCCCTTCCCCATCCATGGGTGTGTATACCCCTTCCCCATCCATGGGTGTGTATACCCCTTCCCCATCCATGGGTGTGTATACCCCTTCCCCATCCATGGGTGTGTATACCCCTTCCCCATCCATGGGTGTGTATACCCCTTCCCCATCCATGGGTGTGTATACCCCTTCCCCATCCATGGGTGTGTATACCCTTCCCCATCCATGGGTGTGTATACCCTTCCCCATCCATGGGTGTGTATACCCTTCCCCATCCATGGGTGTGTATACCCTTCCCCATCCATGGGTGTGTATACCCTTCCCCATCCATGGGTGTGTATACCCTTCCCCATCCATGGGTGTGTATACCCCTTCCCCATCCATGGGTGTGTATACCCTTCCCCATCCATGGGTGTGTATACCCCTTCCCCATCCATGGGTGTGTATACCCCTTCCCCATCCATGGGTGTGTATACCCCTTCCCCATCCATGGGTGTGTATACCCTTCCCCATCCATGGGTGTGTATACCCCTTCCCCATCCATGGGTGTGTATACCCCTTCCCCATCCATGGGTGTGTATACCCCTTCCCCATCCATGGGTGTGTATACCCCTTCCCCATCCATGGGTGTGTATACCCCTTCCCCATCCATGGGTGTGTATACCCCTTCCCCATCCATGGGTGTGTATACCCTTCCCCATCCATGGGTGTGTATACCCCTTCCCCATCCATGGGTGTGTATACCCCTTCCCCATCCATGGGTGTGTATACCCCTTCCCCATCCATGGGTGTGTATACCCCTTCCCCATCCATGGGTGTGTATACCCCTTCCCCATCCATGGGTGTGTATACCCTTCCCCATCCATGGGTGTGTATACCCCTTCCCCATCCATGGGTGTGTATACCCCTTCCCCATCCATGGGTGTGTATACCCCTTCCCCATCCATGGGTGTGTATACCCCTTCCCCATCCATGGGTGTGTATACCCCTTCCCCATCCATGGGTGTGTATACCCCTTCCCCATCCATGGGTGTGTATACCCCTTCCCCATCCATGGGTGTGTATACCCCTTCCCCATCCATGGGT